GGTCTCAATCCTCCACGAAAGTTGCAGGCCCTACGAACGAATGCAACGAAAGAGTGCTGTCTCCTGCAGTAATGTGGTCGCCAGGAGATTGTGCACCCCCTACGAAGCGCATGGCGACCAGGCCGGTCACCACGGTGTCTTGTCAGCCCTCTTCCGTTTCATGCCCGCCACCCGAAGTGCTTGAGACCGAGCAATGGTGCGCTGAGACTCACGCGCCCGGTCAAACTCTGCTTTGGACTTGTAAAGTGCGTGAATGATTTGAACAGGAAGGTCCGCGTAACTAATGGTGATACGCTTCGATAAATCGACTTGATCGAAAACCGAATTGGTGATGTCATCTGCAATCGTGTTCTCTTCCCTGGGGCGCCACTTCAGCCTCACGGCCACTCGTGCCCTGGACAGCACGGAAGACAATTGCATATTTATTAACATTAGGGGGAACTTGGTGGTGGAACGCTTCACAGAAAGGCACTCGTTGCTCCTATTATCAGTCCCTGCTGCCAAGCAAAGCTCTAACGACTTCCTAGAGTTTGCCACTCCTGTCCAACCAAATGCGACTAACGCAGCCAGTGTCGCCAGGAGCTCTGCTGACGTCGAGGCCCACTGGGCCCCCTTTCCAGGACGAAATAAGTAGGGCGCACTAGATTCGTCTAACAAATCTGGAACCAACGACCCGAGGAAACTTCCCAACCCCCGAGGACAACCTGGTCGTCCGTGCACTTTGCATCCGTCCGGAATTGTTCACCTGTGAAAACCTTTGGCCTCCTGGCGGAAACCATGTAGGACTCAACCGAAAACTCGGACAGCAAATACTTAAGGGTGAGAATTACAACCTCCGGGAGCTTAGCAACTGTGCTGGCAGAAGTGGCTGCCGACCAAGCGAAGAGGGGTGCTAGGTGAGGCTTCAGCCAAACCAGAAGCTGAGCCACGAATCCCAGTCTGCCAAGAAACTCGGCGAAGTCACGAGTCACAACCACGAACCTCTTTTCCTCCGCAGACCTAATCCACTTGGTGAGCCACTCACCCCGACGGACCGAGATGCCTACCTCGTTCAAGTCATAACGCATTTGGTAACCTACGAACTCTGAAGCAAAGCCACCTCGAAACTTGTGATAAGCAAAAGGGGTTCCAACGAGTTCGAAAGCGAGGACCCAAATCCAAAGGCGCAGAAACTTCGAAGAACCTGTGAACGAACCATGTAAGTCGTCAACGTACACGAGGTGGAAGAACCACGCGGTGCCCATCACATGGCCTACGAATCTTCCAACAAGTGCGAACAACTTTGACCACCAGTACGGTGCTGAAGAGATTCCAAAGGTACCTACTTTGTTGACCCATACAGTGGAGGAGTTCGAGTCCGCCTTGCAAGCCATGTAGGGCCAATCCTTCTGACGAATCTTGACGAGGCGATGTGCCGCCTTTATGTCGGCCGAAACGCAGAAAGGGGCCTCGCGAGTCTCAACCGATTCCCTCACCACTGAGGCCACCTCCGGCGGCCCGGGACACTGAATCTGATCTTTATAGACAATGCGGTTATTGACCTGCACCGAATGAGTTCCGTCGTGAAGAGGCCTGACCGAACCATCAGGTTTAGCTATGGCTGCCATTGATGCAATCCGAATGCGATCTTCACCATACTCTTCTCTCAAGACCGAATACCTCGTGGGGTACATACGCCCCAACAGCTCTTCTTCTCGAAATTTCGACTCCAACTCAGAAGTGGAAAGTTGAGCGGAAGGATAGTTAGAGGCGACCGGGTTGAAATCAGAACCATCAAGTTTCCTGTGCCTGACTTTCTCCGGAAACACTTGCGGTGACCTTGGCAAAGGAGCATCTACCCCTAGAGGGACCCCTGTGGCAAAAGAATCCTCAGCATCTACAAGCCACCCTGCATCTGGATCTTCGAAGACCGACAACCATTGAGCTAGCCCCCGCAATAAAAAGGGTTGATCCTTATCAATCACCAGAGCGTCTGCGGGATCTGCCAAGAGCCCTCCCCATCGAGCCCGCAGGCTCTCCAAAGGTTCACCAGCAAATGGCGAAGTCTGGTACTTGCCCGTTACCAATGCAAAGGCTGCGGTCCGAACATCTGGTATGCACTGCTGGACAGTCTCCCTGAGAAGGGAGAAGGTCTCCGCTGCCAAGTGTTTCATTGCTACCGAGCGCCTCCTACCCCTCGCGGCCGGTGGCCACCTAGTCGGAGAACAAAGTCCAAACCCATCTATGAAATCACGTTCACAAGCGTCCCACTCCACTTTGATCGGGTGGCCGAAATTTGAGCACGCTTCCAAATCAAAAGATTCTGCTTCATCCGCCGGGGTCGACGGATGTGCGTTCCCTTGTGAAGCTACGTGCACAGGCGGGTCACAAGTCAAATCAATGACAGGAGTTTGTGGTGGGGTGACAGGAGATGGCTTCAAACCTTTATTCGAATCCGCAAGAGTGTGTGATGCCTCTGTCTCGGCAATAGCAACGGGAACCTTAGTGTTGTCTACACAAGGACCGTTTGTCTTGGCAGTAGCAGCTGTCACCTTAGTGTTGTCTACACAAGGACCGGTTTTGCAAGGGCCGTTTTTGCCAGTTTCGCTCCCCCCTCCGAAGGATGCGACAGCAACGAAAATGGCCTCAGCAATGAATTGACACATGTCTGGAGGATATGCCGCGCTGGGGCTTGTTTTCCATTGATCGTTCTGCTTACCTACAAGTTTGGTCTCATGAACATGGCCACAAGTCCTAGGGAGTGGCCCCAAGTAGCGAAAGCTGGGATCAAAGCGCGGAAAACCTGAATGACAGCGTGTATCATGCAGCTCAAAGTTAGTCATCAATCTAGTGGGTTTGGAGGTAGGGGCTCCAAACTGACATTGGTGAATGGCACAAGTGAAACCTCCGCACCAAGCAAATAAGTTGTGGACTTCATCCCACTGCCAAATTGTACCTGGCACTTCATCATGGACTCTTCCTAAGTCTTCTGGATGCTCAAGCAAGAACCAACCGCCGTGTTGCACGGCAACGGAACACGCGTCAAGACACCTCAAAACGAATTCGTTTGCTTCATTGACAATGCCCTGATTAGAGCTAGATAACCATGGAAATCCCTGAGGCCAAGTGCGACTCCTCAGGGGTCTTGGCCCCGGGTGCAAGCGCCACTGGAAGCGAGCGCGAGAAAAAGTGTTGCATGGAGGGGAGACAATCAAAAACCAACCACCCTCTCGCAACCGTGCGCTGATCTGATCCCACAAATCATTGCTACGCAAGTCGTGTGTCTCAGACCTTTCGATATCGAATTCGATCAACTGCAAAGCGATTCGGCCTTCTGAGTGCATTTTGTTTAAACAAGAGCCCACATCAGCCTGACGCCTCTTCCCAGCAAATAAATACATGACTTTGACCTCGGGACAAAAAGCTAGAGGCAAAGCGCGCGGATCAGCCCCTATGCTGGGGGAAGGAGCCCCGTCCTCCCGTCACGATGGCACCAGCTCTTTGTGCTTCACAGCCGGATGATCGGCATAACAACCCTTCACCCGACATTGATGAACCCTGTTGCACTTGCCATCACAACTGCCAGCATTGTAAGCAAAGCACAAATCACGACCGTCTGGTGTCCTCCAAGCCAACTGAAGTCCCTGGAGCTCCTTACGAACTTCACCTTTGCCACCTTTGCCACCTTTGTCGCCTCTGCTTCCTTTCCATGTCTTGCCAGTGCCTTTCCAATTGCCCTTCGAGTCGCCGAAACCCTTGAATCCGGTGCGCTGGAACTTGTTCGGTGAGGGCCTCTCTGAAGCCATTGCGGCCCGAAGTGCCACGGGTGTGGTGAAGTATGTCTCCTTCAAATCAGCGTCACGAATCACTGACCTGAGAGCATCAGCCAATGCGAACCCTTCTCGAATGACCAGCTTGAATGCTTCCTTGCGCAACTTGTGTTCATATGCTAAAATGATGCTCCAATCAGGCTTCACCTTCTGAAGACCTTCGCCCTGCAAAGAAGGAACCTGAATGTTGTAAACGCGATCCCCAAGAATGTAGTCGACAAAACGATTGAAAGGATCAGGAGTCAAACCATGAAGCCAAGCCTTCGCCTTGTACCTGGCAGCCATGCACAACCAAGCATTCATCTCAACACGCATGACCCGACGATAGTCCTCAGTGGTCAATGGAAGCTTCGCCTTGGTCTTCGTCCGAGTGATGCGAATATGTCCTGAGCTATCAAGGCCTGATTGCGTGCCTGAAGTTGTGGAATCTTTCTTGCTAGTCACTTCGTCTAAGGGAGCAGCTTGAGGTTCATTTGACTCTGTTTCTTCTGCCTTCACTGAAAGGTAGTCTGACGAAGGTGACTCAGCCTCCTGCAAAACGCCATACACCTGTTCCACTGCCTTCAGCATAGCCTGTCGCTCGTGCACTTGAAGTGCACGCGGTTGCCCGAGCACTTTTGCTTCTGCTCGTATTTCCACCTCCTTTGAGATGTATTCCTGAGCCACCTCCCACGATGAAACAACTGAGGCCGTCTGAGAACGACCTCCTGGGGTATCCTGCGGAATGGCAAAGTCCGCAAGACATGCTCTCCTCACTTCAGCTCTGGAATCTCCTATGGCACGGAACTTCCTCAAGCTCCCATAATGGCGCGCAATCGCCACCTGATTCTCTAAAGCCACTCCTGAGTCTGCCAGTACGAACTGAAGATCTGAATCCATGTTGTCTGACACAAACTGCTTTTGCTCTGCTTCACTCATTCCAGCTGCCATGACCGCTCACGTCACGGATGGGGGCGGTCAAAACCCTGTGCCCCAGTTGTCTAAACAACTGTCAAAGTGGTATTCCAGAATTGGGAACAACTATAAAATACCCTTAGATCACGTTCCATACTCATGAAATCGAAATTGATGCATGTGGACCCCACTGCACCCATCAAGCTATCGTGACAACGGCCTGAGCCCTTGGTTGTCTGCGAACGTCTAGACTGATTTCATAGATGTCCTCTGACCCTGTCTTCGTCAACCTGGGATCAAACAAGGCTTTTTGATCAAAAAATGACCTTTTGACCCTCGGTTCTTCAGCCTAGCCGATGTAGACATAAAATAGCCTTATCCACCTTCACTTCAAGTCGGGGGCAAGTTCTCCTGAAACAATCCGCAAATTCAAGTTCATTTCACACACAGCACAAGAAACCTAAAGCGAAGCCAATCAACCAGAAGCGCAAATCGAGTACATCGAAACCAAAAGACAAGAAAACAAAAAAAACAAAAGGCTCCCAAAGTCACCGCACAAAACAAGTTCGGGGGATCCTCAAGAGGCAACGCAAGTTCCGTTTTCCACGACATGAAACAGCAGATACCTAGAGCACCATTTGGCGCCACCTGCTAGTCCTCGAGCCCCCGGCCGCACGTGGAGCTCGAAGAAGCTGTGGAACTAGACTCCTCTGGAGTCTCTTTCCCGTTCTCTGAAAGCATCTTCTTCCTGCAGGCACGACAAACCGAATCGAAATCTTCAGCCGTCACCGAATTGGTCATCCTAACTTCCATGCAATTGGAAGGCTTCACAAAGCACCCTACGAGATGAAGCCTTTGGCCTGCCCTTCGAGACACAGTCACAAAGTATTTGGTCGAATCTGTGGATGCTTCACGCTTTGAATCGATGGCCAAAGCCGAACGAGCCTCTTCCTCAAGAAGCACTGAATTTGTGTCGTCCTCAATCACTGGAATCACCTGGCAATCCTCGTCCCTGATAACAAGGACTGGAAACACAGAGCCTAAGCAATTCTTACCTGAGACCGGAGTCATGACCGAATGCCGCCTGCGGATGCGATTGGGATTCGCACCATTGGCCTCTGCAGCCTTGCAAAGACTATCAATGGCCTCGTCCTCGAAATACTCTTCTTCTCTGCCTTCAACAATCGAACGGTTGACTGCACGTTGGATCCTGAAGACAACCTGGCGCGCCGTCCTCACATACTCTTCAGATGAAGTCACGCCAATGCTCCAACGTCCAAGATACGCTCTCATGTCCTTGCTAAAGCCCAAACACGCAGCAACCGATGTCAAGAAATTCCTAGGGCTATGACCAGAGAAATGACACTCCAATCCATCTGGCAAAAGGAGCTGGGCTGGAGCGAGCTCCCAACATGAGTTGCGGCAAAGCGGAACACGAAGCGAACTCAACAACTTCCGAATGAGAGAGGCCAAATCTGAAGGCGTGACAAACTTTCTGCGCACCCCGTCCCAGCCCCTCCTAGGCTCCATCACCAAATAGTCACGACGAAAGGAGAATTGTTCTGACTCCCAAATGTCATAGCCAATCTGTAACCAGTCAACGCCGGTGAGCGACAAAGTCCTATGCACGTGTGCCACCACCTCCTTCTGGGGCTTGTCCGGACCAGTGGTCTTGGTCTTTCCCAATAACAGCTTCAGTCCAGATCTCAAAAGCAGTGACCGATGTGGTAAAATGGCTTGAACATCATCACAACGCAATGCAGCCCAAATCATAACTAGTACGACCCATGCCAAAGCTCGCGAAAAGACCGGTTCGTCTTCGTTTCGCACCGTGAGCTCCAAGGAAACAATCATTGCAACTGTATACATCTCAGCAGTGCGCCTCGGAGGACTGTCAGCCGAGAGCTCCGCAGTCCACGATTTGACGTGTCCCAGCCACAATGGGTCCTTGGACAACTGCATATCCTCCGGAACCCTGCCCAAAACCTCAATGAGATTCAATGCAATGCTGAATGACTCTGGAACTGTTTTGCCACAACCTTCATCAACCCTAAACTGCATATAATCAATGATATCCTTGCAAGACACCGGGAACGCACGATTGCGATGCAGCTCAAGCCATGTCTGGAAAGGTTTCCAACTCTTGTAACGATTCTTGAGGGTGTTAGCCCGACGTGCAGCAAACAAATGCAACCAGCCTGAATCCGGGTCGTCGAGGACGTTGACAAGCTGAACCACAGGGAGTTTTGCAAGTTTGATGACGTTTGCCAACAAAAGTGAATACTTCTTCCGTCCCAAGTCAAATGCCTTTGCACGAACATCTGGAGGCTCCTCCTTGTATCTCCGTTGCTTCTTCTTCGAAGCGAGTTCCAAAATCACAACTGTGCTGGATTGTGTGATAGAATGATACGACTCTTTCAAATCAACAATGCCAAGCTTATGAGACGGAAGAAAGTACAAGCTCTCTGAAAGTACACTCATTCGCAGTCGTTTCAAGGCCGGGGCCGATTCTGTTTGCCACCTCAAAAGTTCAGCAACTGTGTTCCTCAGATCCTCCTCGATCATATCAGGAAACAAATCTGCAATGAGAATACTACAATCATCAAATCCATCAAATGCAGCTTGCAAGCGAAGAGGGGAAGGATACAACTGTTGAATGCTTCCAAGAACTGCTGCATCTATGTTAGGCCACAACTCGTCCATGGCATCGAACGCCGCCGCTTCTATACGGCGTCTAAACGCTCCCCCTTCCCCCGGCGTCCAACCCGTGTTGGATTGCAACGCGCCCCAGCCTACCTGAAATTCAGCCAAGGCTTGAGCCAAAATGCAGTTGATGCTTCGCTTGAGCCGGAGTGGTTGGTCATAACTGATGGGCAGCAGCCAGGACGTTGGCGACTCCTCCACAATAGCTTTGGCCCAGGGCAAAGGTCCAGCGTAGGAAGCTCCCTGCGCTATCAACCAACACCATGCACCGGTGAACAGCGCAGTGCACAAGATTACACCTTCGAAGCCTTGCACCGAGTGCACTTTTATGACGCATGGAGAGTCCAGCCAGGAACAGCCCAAGCAGTGGCTGTCAAGCCACAGAAAACAAAGGAAAAAGATGTCGATGCCCTCACCTTTATGCAAACTGTCATCATATCCTTTGTTAGGGAATGGAGTATGGTGAGCAAACGCTACCCACCAATGACCTCTCTGTCCATCTCCCAGTGCAGATCCTGCCTGATTTGGTAGTAGCCATGGAGCGGCAGGGCTTCACGCCCGCGCAAAGTGAAAGGGGGCTACGGCCACCGACCCAAAGAAGAAGGAGCTGAAGACAACCCTCTGCTCGTTGTGGGAAAATTGCCAAGCGCCGTTGCTAGCCTAGTATGACTTATGCCGAAGCGTCCGTATCCCTTGGCAAAGGCGTAGTTGGGTTCTGCTGCCATGTCCTCTTCCTCAGTTGCTTCCTCAGTGCCAGCTTCTGGTTCAGCAATCCCCACTGGCACCGGCGAGCGCAAATCTGGGCGATCGCTCAGCTGACCCGGTAGCATCAGAGGCAGAGTCTTCTTCTGCAGGCAAGTCTGCAGAGGGGTGTCTGGCAGTTGCCAGGTCTCTCCACAAGGGGACTTCGATGCGCAGCCTCAGCTGTAGAAGGGAAGGGACCGAGATAGCTTGTCCCAAAGACGGGTCAAGGGCACCACAAGAGTAAGCTCTTTCAGCCCAGGACGTATCCGGCATTCGGGGGTATCGGTCGTAAGCAATTTCTTCAGTGTGTGCAACATCCAAGCAGAAAGTACGATAGTAGCTCAGTGGCTGACCTCCGGGCTAAGGGTTGCCATGTCCCGAACAGGGTGGAATCTGCCTGTGCGAGCTGTCAACAGCTCACACTGTTGATCCGTCCCAAACTGAGGATCATGGCATAAGAAGCCTGCTTTACATGGCGCCATGCGCTATTGCAGGTAGTACGCACCTTCGAGTAATATACAAACAAAGAGAAAGCAAAACATGGTGGAGGACATATGCCCTTAACAAATGTGGGTAACTCGACGAGTCTAAACAGCACCGAGTTTGGCCGGCCGATGTCAGTGATCTATGGAGAGATGACTTTCCAGAACCTGCACCAAAGACCAGCAATGCTTTCGCAGCGGGAATCGTGGATAAGCACACCGCCAGTCAGCTACGGCAAGTGAAAAGTGCAAACACTAAGTAGGATCGTCAATCTCTTTCGCCATTCGCAATACAGTGAGCCAATGGGAATGAGAGCCTTAGCTCCTCGTTTCCAACAGGCGGGTGGTGGAGGATGGCAATGGAGGATGCCCAGAGTTCCCTCTGTTGATGTCCGACATTTCCAATTTTGTACAAAGAGGTCAGATACCATGCTAGTACCTGCAGGCTTTCGTCGTTTGCTATGGCCGCCACTGCCTGAACACTACCAACTACTATGCCTCTTGACTTGTCTGTGCAACCAGTTGCAAGGGTTGTGCTACAAGCAGGATTTTTCCACGGCATGATCTGCATAGCAACCACTGATCCACTTAGGCAAGGATCAGACCTGCGTTAGAGCATACCAATGCCCGGGACTTGCACTGTGACCAGGTTTTTGCTACTCTGTGCAGTGGCCGCTGGTCACTGGTAATAGTGATATGAAGTCCATTTGACGACTTCGTTGAGATTTTGCTAAAGCACAAACCCTCGCTGCCATGCTCTTCTTTCGTGAATTCAGGCCCATAGACAGTCAGCAGTCATCGTCTCACTTGTTTCACCATAGTACAGAGGAAATACTACTTGGTGGTGGAGTCTCGGCCTGTGGGCTGTGGTTGGTTTTGTTTGGTTTGACCTGGGCACCATGCCCACACGGCGTCCGTAGTCGTGGAAAAAAAACGGTTCTGCTCTGATGAGCAAGGCTAATGCCGCCCAAAGTAAACGATCGCCGCAAACAGGGCGGGGTGAGAAGGCGGATGACAATGATGAATTTGACCCTCTAGCACGACCGGGAGCGCACCCTAAGAAGTGCCCGGCCATTTCTTTCTGTCTTTGCGTGTTGCCGCAGTCTGCTGTATGACAATCAGGGCCATCACCCGTGCAGTGGTTCTGGATGAGTACAGTGTACAGAATTGGGAAAACGGCGTCTCACCCTGTTTCACCTCCTAACTTAGTATCATAGTTCATGGGGCACATGCATGTTTTGGCCGCTCCTGATGGCCGCGGTGGAAAGAGGCTGATAGAAGATGAAAAGCAACACAAAGTGCAGTAATCGTCCAGGATGGCTGTCCACACCTGGAGCATGTCGCTTTACGCTCTGTGTCAAGCCCTGTGTTGCTTGACTTGCCTGACATGCTCTGCTTGTGCCTCCCCCTCTGGGGGAGGAAAGAGAGGCCGCATTCGTGGCTACTGGCAAAAAGGCAAATCGTGACGAATGGACCCAGGTCAAAGGGCCATTCCCTCACTAACAAGTCGCTTCTATTTGATGCACACTTTCACTGGTGGTAGGAGCACAGTAGCAATGCTGCAATTTTGGACTGTGCCATCCTTTCTATCGTTTTCATCCTTGCCTTTTTGGGTGGTGCTACGGCACTCACAGGGTGATAAATGCCTAAGCAGACCTTGCAACACATGCAACCGGTTGCTCGTCGGGCTCTTCTGCCAATGAGGCCAAAGAGTACAGCTTTGAATCACTCCACAAGATCTACTTTCATGATGCATGGAGATGGATCATTGAGCTGGATCAACCTTCCTCTCCACTCCGCCTTCCCCCCCGCCAGGCCTGCTGCAAAGGGCTACTGGCAACGCGTGCCAGAAAGCAATCAAGAAAGCAATCCAGGCAATCAAGACAATCAAGGCAATCAAGGTGGAGGCCCGTCACAGGATCACCTATCCAGAGCGATACAGGCGGAAGTCAGCCTCACGGAGACCAGCTCAGTGGATGGTGAAAACAACACATCCCCGAGTGAAGCACTGGAACCTTCCAGCCGCAGCCAACAACCAGGCTCTCCAGTCTCCCCAATCACAATTGGCAGCACTGATGTGAGGAGCAAGCAGACTCACAGAAGGATGCACGGGGACCCTCGGCAAGTGATTCCCATGTCGAGACTATGGTCCCAGCAAGCATTGAGGGCACAAATGAAGAAAGACGGCTCAGCGCCTCCCCAACGAGTCCGGCGACCGAAACAACCGGCCAGACCCCGGCACAGAGGCCGTTAACAGAGGAAGCACTAGCCGCAGAAACGGAAAGCGGCACTACTGATGAGGTGATCGAGCTAGAAGGTAGCAATGAGGCGATGCCAGCCAGGGGTGCCCCGACCTCTCCCCACTCTCCCCAAGCGCTGACCGCAGAGGAGGAAGCGCACTAGTCGCCGCCAGGCAGGGACAAAAAGGTCTGTGCCTGCTGTACAAGCTCACGAAATAGATAACCAAAGGAAGCCTCTACTGCATCCGACCATGTCCGCCACGGACGCTGAGGGAGAGGGTGGTCACCCGTGTGGCAGCCCTCTTGCGCCTCCCACCAAAGCCAACGCCGGCAGAGCTCTACCGGAGAGAGCAACGAGGCGCAGTCGTTGGGCATCTAGCCTGCCGGCAGTCTCTGCAGCTCCGCCACAAGGGGTGGACCCAGAAAGCCAGTCTACGGCTCATCGTAGCCCAACCCGCCCCACAAGTGACACAGGAGAGGAGGTTATCGATGCCCCTGCCCCACAGGCCGCTGCGCAGCCCAAGCTGCAAGAACTCCCGTCAACTCATTCCAAGGCACCTGAAGTGACTGAGCAACAAAAGGGGAGGGCACCTGAACATGCAATGATTGACGCACTCCAATCCAGACTGAACGTGCCGCCCCCCCCTGCGACTGGACTGTTGAGCATTGCGGCTACGAGACCCACGGCCACCGCGGTCATGAATCCGAAGATGCCAGCAGCGGCCACAAGCGACTCTGGGGCGCACATGCCCAGGAAAGACGAAGCTCCCATGACGGAAATCTTTCTTGAGGAAACAGATGACCGAGCGGGAACGGTTGATGCGGATATCACTCACCTAGCGGAGCAAAGAGCAATGCACACGGTACTTCGGTACCAAATGCAAGCGTTAAGACACAGTGCCCCTGCAGACTCTAGCGCTTTTGAGGAGTCTACAGCCTTGGCCCCGGTTGCGCCTCCGCTCAGCCTGTATGCCAACTTGCCACAGGAGTGGCCCTTAGCGCGCCTCAGTGTACAGCTCCGCCACATCGGTGTTATGCTAAGAGTAACCTTATTCCGTCGTGTTGCCGAGCTCAACTTCCGAGGAGTTGAGTTTCGACGATTGCCAAGGGAAGTAATGACAAGTATCATCCATGATTTCAACAATATTGCAGGGGAGTTGGCCAGACGGCCAGCGTCGCTCTTCCACTTCCTAAAGTCGGTCCCCAGCGCAAACAAGCAGGCGGACGAGCTAGGGCTAACGTTATATGCTGAGCCGAAATACTGGTTGTATGGCCTCCTATCCTTCTGTGCCAAAGCCTGCGAAGCCAAAATTGAAGAAGCCAACGGGCGTCCAGTGCAGAAAGCCAAGGAAGAAGGAGGCGTGCCGGATCTAGAGGCCACAGGCAAAACATTAGCACTAATGCAAGCAGTAGTAATGTCCTTCGGCCGCAATCAACGCCTGGGCACGCCAGACCTCCCTATCCATCACTTGCATGTGTATTTTCCGGTCCAGCTAGTGCACAAACTAATAGCTCGTATGAGAACAGACTTGCA